ATATATATATATATATATATATATATTTAAAAAAAGATGTTTGGTTGGAAAGATAACTGTTTACGCAAATCAATGAACTTTGATGGACTGAAAGGGCTCATTCCCCAGAGGACTAGATCTCAGAAAAGAAGTCATAGCCCAGGTGTTGTGGTGCACCTCTTTAATCCCAGCACTCAGGAGGCAGAGGTAGGTGGCTCTCTGTGTGTTTTATGCCAGTCTGGGCCTTATAGGATAAAGGTTTGCCATTAGTCTGACAACCTGAGGTCAACCCCTGCATGTTGCCGGTAATGCAGTGCAAGTGTGTAGGTTCAAGAAGGTCTGAAATGAAGACTCAGAGACGCTTTGAGAATGAACTTAGCCTTAGCAGCCGCAGGGGTCCCAGCCTCGGTGAAATGAAGCACTTTCCCTTAGCCCTTCGCATTTTTATTTTTCTCTATATTTACACTTTAGCCCATAGATTTCCATATCTCAAAACAGCCTGAATGAAGCTTCCAAAAATACAATGCCAAGTGCAAACACCTGATTCAGGAGGTACCATGGTTTTCCAGAGGGGGGGGGAATGTGGCTATTCTCAGAGAGCTGAATGCAAGATATAATAAGAATAAACTTAAGTAATAACTATTCTGCAGCTAATAAAACAGTACTACTTTTAAAGTAGATTATCAGGGAAGGGCTCCCTAAGGAGGCAACTTACTTTCTCTCTTTCTTTTCCTTTCCTTTCCTTTTCTTTTTTTCTTTTTCTTTTTTGGTTTTTCAAGATAGGGTTTCTCTGTGTAGCCCTAGCTGTCCTGGAACTAGTTCTTGTAGACCAGACTGGCTCCGAACTCAGAGATCTGCCTGTCTCTGTCTCCTGAGTGCTGGGATCAAAGGAATGCATCGCCACTGCCTAGCAGAGGCAACTTTCAAATTAATGTCTTGGCCACAAGAAACAGCCAGTCACTGAACATGTCAGGCAGAAGGAACTGCTCATATGGAGTGGAAGTGGGAATGTCTTCCTAGTGCAAGTGGACAATGGCCCCTGTGGTTTGAGTGGAGTGGGGAGTGGCCACATAAACTAGAGGAGATAGGGCCAGTCAAGCAGGGATGATAAGGAATTGTATGTATTGGGAGAACTCTGAGGCAGTGTATGGTAACTCTGTTTAGCTGAATTAGCGGAAGCTCCAGGAGATTGGTACCTCATAGGAAAGTATTTACGTGCGCTATGTGGTGATCGCAACAACTCCTTAAGGGAAACTCGGCCTTGTGTTTCCTTCCATAGCCAGGACAGTGGCACACACAGGGACGTGACGCGAGTGCCCCTCCCCCCCCAGCTCTACAACTGGGCTGCTCCAGAAGTGATCCTACAGAAGGCGGCCACTGTGAAGTCAGACATCTACAGCTTTTCCATGATCATACAAGAAATTTTAACAGGTGATCCATGTGTATATTCAAAGTTGATCCAAGTCATTATTTTTAAGTTAGAGATTTCCCCCCAGGAAATACTTAGTTTTATGAAAATTCAGAACTTAAAGAAAAAAATCCTGAAGGATCTTTGTTTGTATATTTGTCTGCTTTTCTACCACATAGTCCCGACTATCCTGGAACTAGCTATGTAGACCAGGCTGGCTTTAAACTTAGACAGTTTGCCTCTGCCTACTGTGTTCTGGGAATAAAAGCATGCAGCACTACACCTGGCTTCAAGGATCTTCTTTTTGCTTATTAGACACAAGATAGTTTCCAAGAAATCTTCCTTTAACTATTTACAACTCAGAAAAGCCCATAGATCTGCCTGCTATTGATAAAGCACTTAAGCAAAAAATAGGAAATGGTAGATGCATACCTGATGTCACTTGAAGAAAATGAAAGCCCCTTGAAACCTACATGACTTTGAGTAAAGTACTCACATAACTGAAGACAAAAGGACTCCTTAGAGAGACAGACATATCCGTCCGTATGCATACACACATATAAAACCACATTCAAGTGAGGGAGTAGGCAGAGTCAGCTGCCCTTTTGATGTTTGGAATCCTAGAGGCAAAATTGCACTCTTCAGGAGATGAATTCATGATCTACTCAGCCTGATGTCCAAGCATCAGCTTGTCTCCAAGTCTACTAGGGACACCCATGTATGCAGGAAGCTGACACTAACTATTTTCTGTGTCTGAGGGATTTCCCTGGTTAAGTGACTCCTTGTCCATAATTGGGCCAGGTGGTTTCTCTGGGGGAAGAAAGTAATGTTTAAAGGGACCAACTGAATTGACTAAGTTCTTAACCACTTCTGATTTATTTTTTCTTTTATTTCTCTGTGTTATTCAATATTTTTAAATGTTTTATTGTCATATATTAATTATATATGGTAATTGGCTTTATGATGTTTTTATACATATATATATAATATGTTTTGATCATATTCACCCTCCTTGCATTTCTATTTTTAATTTCATTTTGTGTGTATGTGTATTTTGTCTACATTCATGTCTGTGCACCTAGTGCCTGCAGTACCCAGAAGAGGGCAATGGATCCCTGGAAGTAAGGTTACTGATGATTGTAAGCAGCTATGTGGGTGATGGGAATTGAACTCAGGTCCTCTGGAAGAGCAGCCAGTGCTCTTAACTGCTGAGCCATCTCTCCAGCCTCTACATTACCCACTTTTGCCCCCCCCACTCAATCCCAACTAGTCCCTTTCTGCTTTCATGTCTGTCTTTTTCCATGACCCCATGAGTTCCCTAGGGTTGTATACAGGAACATGGGCAAGAGGTTATTACAGAGACATAGGCAACTTACTTGTGAATACATCACTGAAGGAAATCAACGATTTCCTTCTGTCTTAATCTTATTCCTATCTATTACTTTTTACTTATAGACAACATACCCTGGAATGGCTTGGATGGCTCAGTTATTAAAGAAACCATAGCCTTGGGAAGTTATTTAGAAGCGGATGTCAGGCTTCCGGAACCTTACTATGATATTGTTAAGTCAGGTATCCACGCCAAGCAGAAGCATCGAACAATGAACCTACAAGATATTCGCTATATTCTGAAGAATGACTTAAAGGCAAGCCCTGAAATTGGGAGAAGTTTGTTTCTGCTACCTACTTCATTGGGTTAGAGACCAGGAAGCTAGAGGCCCAAGTTTTAAAAATGCTTGGAATTGAGGACAGTGGTGCATGCCTGAAGATTGATGTCGTGCGAGGACATGGGTTGGGGATGGGATACTGAAGTAGGATCAGGAGTTTGAAATTTCCCTAGACTACATAGAAAGTTCAAAGCTAGTGTAGAGGTACATACTATCACTAGTTCTCAAAAAGTCCCTAAAGTTTTGGAAAGCCTTGTTTTATTATACTGTGTTGCTGAGGAAAGCCTCTCTGTTTAATTTAGAGAATGCGTTAGAGAATTGAGGCGAGATCTGGAGAAGTTGTAGGGTATAATAAAGATGAAGGGAATGGCAGGAGTGGACTAATAATAAACCAGCTAATTAGGATTGATGGCCAGTCTAATAAGAGAAAGAAAGAGATATTTGAGATATTTATGTTTCTAAAAGCACAGATAGCATTTGGATGAATTGAGATGTGTCATTGACAATGTTTTGTTGTAGGATTTTCTTGGAGCTCAGAAAAGTCAGCCAACTGAGAGCCCTAGAATGCAGAGCTATGAAGCCCATCCTGATGTTAACTCCTGTCTAGGACTATCTTCAGAATATCAAAAGGACATTCCAGATGTGGACATCAAAGAGCTAAAGGAAATGGGTATGACTTGAACACACAAAGCATTACTCTGATAACCGAGGGATGTTTTTTAGGTGTTTATGTTTGTGTTTTAGAATTGTGTGTATGTGTGCTGGTACACATGTGCTGTTATGCATGTGTGAAGTTAGAAGACAACTGTGGGGGCTGGAGAGATGGCTCAGAGGTTAAGAGAATTGACTGCTATTCCAGAGGTCCTGAGTTCAATTCCCAGCAACCATATGGTGGCTCACAACCACCTGTAATAAGATCTGGTGCCAACTTCTGTCTGCAGGAACACATGCCACTGAGATGTCTCACTGGCTCTTTTTTTTTTAAAGATAGATTTATTTTTATTTTATGAGTATTTTGTCTGCATGTATGCCTGTGCACCAGCATTCATGCCTGATGCCCAGGGAATCCAGAAGAGCTATATATTTGGTTGTGATCCACCATATAGGTGCTGGGAATTGAACCCAGGTCCTCTGGAAGAGCAGCCAGTGCTCTTAACTGATGAGTCACTTCTCCAGCCCTGTTTTTGGTTTTATTAGAGTCTCATAGCCTAGGCTGGTCTTGAATGCTCAGTCCTTATGTCTTAAGTCTTCCAAATGCTGGAGTTAGAGGCAAATGCCACTCCACTGGGTATCAGTTTACTTTTTTGTGAATCACATGGACACTAGCTGTCTCTTTTAAACTGTATATATAACCTGTGCTGAAAAAAGATTTGTACTTTAGGAAAAAGCTAAGATCCTTAAAATTATTAAGATAAATCTTTTAGGCTATATAAACATAAGGGTTATATGCAGAACTTAATAGTAACTGAATTTATAGTATGATCAGTCATAGGAATTTATCTAATTGCTTAGAAAAGAAAAATAATGTATATGAGGCTCTGTCTACATGTACACCTGCAGGTCAGAAGAGGGCGTGAGATCTTATTATAGATGGGTGCTAGGATTGAACTCAGGACCTCTGGAAAAGCAGCCAGTGCTGTTAACCTCTGAGCCATCTCTCCAGCCCCATAAAAATAATTAAAAAAATGTAAAAGTCCTATCTGCTGACCAGCTTGGCACAGTGATATGGATTTATAATCCCACGATTTGGGAATGTGAGATAGGAGTATCACTTGAGTTCTGAAGTTTGGGGTCAGTCTGAGCAACGGGACCTTATTCTTTAAAGCGCTCAGTCATGGCACTCACTTGATGGCTCCTGTTCCAGCTGAGGAGACTGAGGATGCTTGGGGATGCAGAGCTTGTTTCCAAGTTGGAACGTAGACCAGGCTGGCCTAGAACTCACAGAGATCTGCCTGCCTCTGCCTCCCAAGTGCTGGGATTAAAGGTATGTGCCACCACTGCCCGGCAGGTCTTTTAATTATAGCCTAATCACTGTTTACTTGGACTCTCCTCTGACGGGTGGAAGCTTCCAGAATGTTCCCTTCCATATTTTCATTATTTGTGTCCTTCATCCCATTTCCTGAAAGTTATACCCTTATCAACTTAAGTCATGTGTGGGTCAGCCCTCAAGTTATTCTTGTAGCCATTTATTTTTCCTGTGATACAGTAGCTTCTTAGGCAATAGTCTCCACCACTTTTATCCCATGCTCACCAAAAGCATCACCTCAACTGTTTTAGTCACACATTTAATACACAAAGGAAGCCATGGGTATAGTCCTGAGGATCCAGGAGCCTTGAATTTGAATGTTCTGTCAGTTAAACACATTTAAAATAGTATAAATGAAGCCGAGAACATTCTTAGAAATTAGACCTCCATGGCCCCAAATGTCTATCTTATTCGATGTCAAAATGGGAACTTTCACTTAGCTTAGAAATACCCTTTCATCCTCTGCTGGCTGGGTGTGATGATACACGCCCTAATCCTAGTCTAGAGGCAGCCCTCAATCCCAGCACTTGGGAGTCTGAAGCAGAGGCGAGCAGATGTCTGGGTTCAAGGCCAGCCTGGTCTACATAGTGAGATTGTGAGTTCTAGTACAACCAGGGCTAGGCAAAGAGATCCTGTCTCAAACAACAACAAAAAGAAATAGCTTTTCATCCTCTGTTGAATGTATCTGTTGGTCTTCTGGTAGGATCTCACTCCTAGGAAGGGAATTGGAAAAAATAAAAGATGGTTTTTATGCCTTTTCAAAAGTTATTATTGTTTTTGTTATTTGAGACAGGCTCTCACTATATGGTTCAGACTGACTTAGTCCAGGCTGGCATCTAACTTGAGATCCTTCTGCCTCAGCCTGCCAGATGCTGTGATTAAAGGTGTGTGTATGCCACCTGACCCAGCTCATGTTGTATACCTTGAACAGTAGCCAAGGCTGCTTACCTTGTTTGATTAGTTTAATCATCTGGGTATTGCTATTCTTTCCAACAGGTAGTCAACCCCATTCACCAGCAGATCACTCTGTTCCCATTGGAAAAACAGTACTGACTCCTCCAGTCCTGGATTCAAGTCTGTCAGTCCAGGAACCTGAGAATCCAAATGTTCCTTCTCCTCCTGCTTCCTGTTTGGCAGAAGAGGTCAAGAGCCCCACTGCAAGTCAGAGCAGCCTCTGCAGCTTTGAGATCAATGAAATCTACTCAGGCTGCTTCAACTTGGGAACTGTCAAAGAGGAAGAGTACCCAGGGACTGCTTCATCATCTGAGGGGGATAAGCCAGACCAGGTAGATGAACTTCCATCTCTGGAAGAAGAGCTGGATAAGATGGAGAGAGAATTGCATTGTTTTTGTGAGGAGGACAAGAGCTTTTCAGAAGTTGACACAGACCTTTCCTTTGGGGATGGCGACTGGCAAAGTGATCCCCGCAGTTCACTCAGCCTGACTGAACCAACCAGAGAAGACAAGAGCAAAACGAACAGTTGGTCCAAGACTGATGAGGTTGTCAGTAAGATTGTGCTCAATCTAAAGATTTCACAAGTAATGATGCAACAGAATGCTGAGTGGCTGGGGAAGCTTGAGCAGGAAATAGATGAACTTGAGTTGGCACAGGAGGAGCTGGACAATCAGGGCAGGAGTTTGAGGGATGTTGCATTAAAGTTTGCAAATGCCAAGTATCCGTTAGCTGTGGGCCCTCCATCTTTGACTTATGTTCCTCCTGTTATGCAATTACCAGAGCTTAGGCAGTCAGAAAATGGTGGACATTTTGGCAAAAAGCCTGAGCAACTAATCTGTGGCTGGAAGCCTTTCACACAAGTTTCTGAAGAAAACAGAGAAGACCAGTCAGAGACAAACAATCAGGTACAGTAAGTGGGTAGAAGGAACTGCCTTTGCAGGATCCTTGAGCCAGTATTTCCTGTGACCTGTATGCAGTACCTATAAATAAATGTAGATAGCTTGTAGCAAGGTCCTTTTGGTTTAGGAAATAAGTCCTCTAGGATGGAATTCTGTGATACATACACTCTCTAACCCCCATTCCAAACCAAGAACAAAGCCTTTGTCCTTCTCCATAGTTTCAAATGTATTAGGTTCAGCTATGAGAAATTTGTTTTATAGATCAGTTAAGTATTAGCAATTTGACATAATTCAAAGTGTATAAAGTATTTTTGATATTTTAGGGCTGGAGATAAGGTTCAGTACTTAAACAGTTCTTGCTGCTTTTGCAAAGGACCTGGGTTCATTTGGCAGCACTGACATGCGTCATCTTACAACCACTCATAACTTTAGTTCCAGGAGGTCCAGGGCCTTCCTCCACACATAAATGCACTCAAGCCCACACGCTTTAAAAAAATTCTTTACTCTAAATTCCCCATTAAGTTATTTAAGAAATATTTATATGGGACTGGGAAGATGGCTCTGTAACTGGAGGTTTCTCATTCCACCTGGTCCTGCAGCAGCTTTTAAAATACACACTCAGAGTCTTAATATTACATACTGTTTGGCCTATTACATACTGTTTGGCCTATTAGCTCAGGCTTATTAACTAGCTCTTACAACCTAAATTAACCCATTTCTATTAGTTTATATTGTACCGTAAGGCTCAAGACTTGTTACCTCACATCTTGCTTCTCTGGTGGCTGTTTGCATCTCCTTCCACTCTGCCTTCTTTCTCTCTCTCTGGCTCTGTTTCATCTTCCCAACTAGCTATATTCTTCCCTGCTACAAGCCAAAGAAGCTTCTTTAATAACCAGTGGTAATAAAACATATTTACAGCCTACAGCAGGGTATCCCACAACATGGCTCAGCAGTAAAATACCTGCCAGACAAGCATGAGAACTTGAGTTTGATCTCCAGCACTCATTAAAAAAAATCAGTTATGTCAGTTTTTACCTAGTGCTGGGGCAGTGGAGACAGGAGGATCCCTGGAGGGAACGCACTGTGTAAGTCCGATGTACTTCGTTTTTAATGATTTGTCTCATTTCTGTGCATTTGATGCCACCCCTGAGCTCTTAATTTTGTTGCTGTAAGCTAGGAAAGAGTGAGTACTAAGTTTATTAAAATGAAGTAAAGGAAAGCAAATGTCTCTCTTTTGAATGGAGGACATAGCGTTTACTATTTCCAGAGTATTGTAACTTCTATTTTGTTTTCACAGCACCCTACTGGTAGGCATTACCATCTTCTTATGGGTGATGAAACTGAGCTAGAGACTTATATTATTTCCATCAAGACTTAGACTGGAATCCAGGGTTTAGTGGGCTTGCCATGAAAATCTCTGCTTTTATGTTGCTATACGGGAGAAATGGTTAGCAAAGATTTTAAGTTTCTGATTTCTTTTTTATTTTAACTTTTTTTTTCAAGATAGCGTTTCTCTGTGTAGCTTTGGCTGTCCTAAAACTCACTCTGTAGATCAGACTGACCTTAAACTCACAGAGATCCTCCTGCCTCTGCCTCCTGACTGCTGGGATGAAAGGCCTGCACCACCACTGCCTGGCTCTTACTTATCTTTTTTTTGTTTTGTTTTGTTTTGTTTATCTTTTAAAGTCAAGGTTTCATTGTGTATCTCAGGTCGGCCCTGAACTCACTATGTTGTCCTGTAGTAGAGGCTGGCCGCAAACACACAGCCATCCTTCTGTCCCAACTTAGTGCATCACCGCACTCAGCTTTGGATTCTAGGTTTTTTGTTTTGGTTTGGTTTTGGTTTTTTCAAGGCAGGGTTTCTCTGTGTAACAGCACCAACTGTCCTGGAACTCACTCTGTAGACCAGACTGACCTCGAACTCAGAGATCCATCTGCCTCTACCTTCTGAGTGCTGGATTAAAGGTGTTTGCTACCACTGCCAAGCCTTGGTTCTGTTTCATATACTCATTTTCTGCTTGTCCTCTTTCTCTCTGGGTTCTTGACTGCCTGGGTTCATGAACTCCACATTCTTTAGTAAAAACTTCCAAGTTACTAGATATGAAACATGAAAAGGATATAATCATAAGTTGGTTTTGCTATTTCTATACACTTAGCAAAAATGATTTTGAAAATAGAGTATGAGAGTAAAAAGAAAATTTTGCCTCCCAAAGCAGTGAGACATGTTTGTTTTTTAAGCTGCCGACTGTTCGTGGTCCTGGGAAGCAGAACACAGGTGAACAGTCACCATCCACTGAGGAAGCCAAGGAGAGTTTGGAGAGAAATAAAAACCAAAATAGCAGGAGGTGGGTTAACATTTACTGTTCGTTGTCTCATATGCCTTTATAGGCCCATGTGGCCTTAGGCCACTTTCTGACCTTCAGACATCTAATGACAAATGGATTGTGAATAATGAATAAAAGCAATGCAGAAACACTAAAATGGAAAAGTGTACGACAGGCTAAATCACACAGAGTCCATCAATATCAGTAGTAAAGTATTTTGCCTTTCTAAAACTCTCTAGATAATTTTAAAAAATTATTATTATATTATTATCTTAGAGATATAATCTTACCGTGTAGCCCAGGCTGGTCTGAAACTCACTATGTAGACCAGACTGGCATCATACTCGCAAGGCTCTACATGCCTCTGCCTCCCAAGTGCTAGGGTTAAAGGTGTGCGCCACCATGCTGGAACATATTTATTTTTATTATCTTTTAAACTATTTTTATGTTGTATGCATTGATGGTTTGCCTATATGTATGTCTGTGTGAGGGTGCTGTATACACTGAAACTGGAGTTATAAACAATTGTGAGCAGCAGCTATGTGGATGCTAGGAATTGAACCCAGGTCCTCTAGAAAAGCAGCTAGTGCTCTTAACCTCTGAGCCATCTCCAGCCCCATTATTTTTTCCAAATACTTATTTTTATTTTTTGTGTGTGGATGTTCTGCCTGCATTTATATATGTATACCACATGTGTGCAGTATCTGTGGATTCCCTTGAACTGGAGCTATAGATATTCCTTAACCACTGCGTTGTTGATGAGAATTGGACTCCAGTGCTCTGTAAGAGTGGCAAATACTCTTAACCACTGAGCCATCTCCAGCTCCTTTACATTTGATTTATATGCATGTGTGCACGTGCATGCATGCACCACCGTACTCCCTACCAAATAAATAAAAATATGCAAAACCACATAGTGGCACATGCCTACAATCCCAGCTCTTTGAAGGGAGAGGTCATTTAAGGCCAGAGTGGTCTTTGTAGTGAGTACCAGGCCAGGCTGAGCTACATTGAGACCCTGTCTAAAAACAAACAGAACAAAGCAGAAAAGGGGGCTGAGATGGCCCAGTGGTTAAAAGCACTTGCCGAGGACCCAAGTTCAATCCTTAAGCACCACATAGCAGCTCACAGGCATCTGTGACTCCCTCTTCCGGCCTCTCCAGGCACTAGGTACATATGTGGTGCACAGACATGTGACTCATGTCTATAATCTCAGCATTAAAGGAGGGAGAGACTATCCTGGGCTACAGAGTAAGATTCTTTAATAAAATAAATAAATACATTTCACTTACCATGCTACGCTATTTTTAAAAACTTATGTAAACTTATTTTGAAAAAACAATTTTTTCTCTTTGAGTTTTAGATTTTTTTATTTTGTTGGAAACAAGGTGACTTTAAACTAAATGAAAATGTAATAAAAATATGCAAAAATCCCAGCATAGTGGCACATATCTTTGGTTCCAGCACTCAGGAGGCAGAGGCAGGCAGATCTCTCTAAGTCTGAGGCAATCCTGGTTTACAGAATGTGTTCAAGGATAGCCAGGGCTACACAGAGAAACCCTGTCTTCACTCTCACAGAAGCCCAGAAAATAAAAAAAAAAAACAGTTTTCTTCTTTATTTTTGATTATATATTTAGGATAGTTTCCCAGAAGCAGAATTGTTAGGTTAAAGGTTTTGAACATCTAAGAGTTGTTGCCAAAAAGCTCTTGAAAGAGCTGTCAGATCTGAACTCTTCTTTCTGGTCCAGCTGGGTAGTAGTGCATTCTGGGTAGTAGTGCATTCTGGGTAGTAGTGCATTCTGGGCAACAAGGGTTTCATAGCTGTGCCACAGAGCACACATTTTGTTGTTTGAGACAGTTTCTCTTTGTAACAGTTCTGGCTGTCCTGGAACTCACTCTATAGACCAGGCTGGCTTTGAACTCAGAGAGATCCGCCTGCCTCTGCTTCCCAAGTGCTGGGATTAGAGGCACGCGCCACCACTGCCCAGCCTGATCACACACTTTAAAAGAGTTATTTTATTTATTTATCATTACTATTATTGCTGTTATTATTTGAGACAGGATTTCACTTGTATTCCTAGCTAGCCTGGAGCTCACAAAGGTCTACCTACTCTGCCTGCAGAGGGCTGGGATTAACTGCGTGTGCCACCATGCCCAGCCCTGAGGAGTTATTTTAATGAATGGCAAATCGTTATAGTCATGGAATATTTAGAGGAAGGAAGACTGCAGCTAAAGAAGCTTAGTCCAGAGAGACTGTTCCTCACTGATGCAAGACAGGTGACCTAGCAAGCAAAGCAAGATCCAGAACCCAGAGAAACTGTGTACTTCAGGGTACTTGTGCCATAAGAGCCTTGTTTCAGGGGTTAGCTGTTGTGCTGTCAGTGCTATGGTGGGCTTGGCACCTGAGAACCTCCACATGAACTGTCACTTGTGATTGTCTGATTGGGGACAGGGTGGACTCAGCTATAGTGAAGGACAGATTTTGTCAGAGGAAACTTACAACTGTCAGTTTCTTCTACTTCTGAAAATCTCCCAAGAGCATTATTAGAATCATGAATTTGGAAATTAATAAAAAAAAATAACCAACCTGTGGGGATCTTTTAGCCAAATCTTTTAATTTTTCAGCCAGGAAAGGTCTAGGGAATCAAGTATCCAAGTCAGGAGTTACTCAACTAAATAGTGCACCCTTCCCTGAGTCAAACCACTCCGGCAGATTGGGGTAACCTAGGCTCAACAGGGCTATGCCAGGCTAGGGGTCCTGACAGTTGAAGATGATGGGGTGTTGGGTGCTCCCTGGTGGTGAGTAGAAGTCCAAGTGGGGAGGGATTGTGGGTGGGCTGGTGGGCTTTGAACTGTTAGGAACTTGAACCAACATTTAATTTGTATCTACCTCACTTCTACCCTAAATGATGCAACTTAGGATCAGTATGGAATCTGGGTCTTCTGAAATCTATAATACAAAGTCAAGAAATAATGAAGATGATGGAGAGGCAGACTCAAAATGGAAACGTATGAACTCATTTTTTATAGATACTATTTGTTATCTGTCTATCTATCTCTCTATTTATTTTGAGGCAGGATCTCATTATGTAGCTCAGACTGGCCTTAAAATCATGACCCCCCCAAATATTAGAGTTATAAGCATGCACTATTATGCCTAGCTGATGAATGAAATAATTCTTGAGTATCATCAGTTTTGTTTGTGCTATGGTTCTGGGGATTGAACCTAGGTATTGTGCATGCTAAGCAAGCACTCTACAACCAGGCAACACCACCAGCACCTGTTTGATATCTCTTAAGTATAAAAACAGATGTCTCGTTATTTAGGATTATAAATAACACTGTTGTTCACACACACATACATACATACCCATACTCACCATCCTATGATATAAGCACAGCTCTTCTGATAGCAGACTGTAGAAGGAAATGCTTTTCTATTTTTAAACTTTGTAGATAATACTTCTATTGTTTGTATAAATATACATTGTATAACATTGTAGTGAAACAATACACAGTATATTTACCCCATAAAGATTAAAACGGAGGGCTGGAGAGATGGCTCAGTGGTTAAGAGCATTGCCTGCTCTTCCAAAGGTCCTGAGTTCAACTCCCGGCAACCACATGGTGGCTCACAACCATCTGTAATGAAGTCTGGTGCCCTCTTCTGGCCTGCATACATACACACAGACAGGATACTGTATACATAATAAATAAATGAATATTTTTAAAAAAAGATTAAAACGGAGAGCATACAATGTGTATCACATATTCTGTAATACCCTTTTGTTGTGGTTTACTTGGTGTGTATCTTCTCCCAAAGATGTTAGGGCTCAGTGTAGTCTAGAAAAGTCAGGCAGATGATAATTACTATAGCCTGGGAAATTCAGACAGTAGGTTCTCTCATTAAATCAGCAGTAGGGTCCGTCTGCATGTTCTCTACTGCTTCCTGCTGTTGTTTGGAGTCATAACACGAGTTTTCTATGTCTGTCACAGTTCTAATTCCCTCTACTTAAAGGCAAACAGGCAAGGTAAGGGTGATGAAACTGTACCAGATCAATCACTGTTACCATATGGGTTAAGTAATATTTATCTTTTTTAAGGTTGAAAACTTTGGTTTTTAATGTTTACAGTGATGTTTTAAATGCTTCTTTCTCTTGTGCCCAGTGGCAGTAAAGGAAATGGCAGAGAAAGCAGTTTCCGGACAGCTCCTAGTACCTCCTTGGAGCCCTCAGAGCAGTGTGCCTTTTGAGAGTAAGATTGAAAATGAGACCACTCATTTGCCACGGCCCCCAGTCCGAGGTCCTGAGAGCACACACTGGCCGCACATTGTAGAATATCAAAGGGAAAATGATGAGCCCAAAGGTAGTATAAAGTTTGGCACAGTGGACACCAGTGACTGTGGCAGGAACAAGCACAGCGGACAGACAGGCCTCAGCAGCTTCACCAGTAAGTTCACTGGGTGGGGTTGGGTTAGGTGAACTCTACTTATCAGCTCTCAAGATATGTGCACTTCTAGCATATTCCCTTTGCTTGGTCCTGTCTCCTACTTTTCTGAAAGCCTGTGTTCAAAGGTGAAGAGATTCATTAGTTTCCCTATTACTAAAACAAGGCCCCTTTGTCCAAAGGATGTAATCTCCAAGTGCTGACCTTGTCCTGGGTCTAACCTAGTAAGGAATCAAACTTTTCTTACCTGAGGGTGGAGGTAAGCTATCATTCTCTACTGGATGTTTCTTTGTTTTTGATACAGACTTCTGCTGTATAGCCCAGGCTCACCTGAAACTTGCTATCCTGCTCCCTCAGACTTCTGAGTGCTGGCATTGTAGGTGTATGCCATCATACTCAGCCAGCTTTTTCTTTTTTTTTTTCATTGCATTCTAAGTTGAAAATAAACTTACTGAGGCCATATGGCTTTTGATTCACAGATCATCAGATAATAATTTCAAGATAGATATGGAGTCAAAGAAAGACATCTATAATTGACACTTAACTTTGCAGAAAATCTCTAAATCTCTTGGCTTCCTCTCCGTTTGTACTTTCTCAGAGAGAGAGAGAGAGAGAGAGAGAGAGAGAGAGAGAGAGAGAGAGAGAGAGAGAGAATCCCAAGGATATGGGTCAGTGGGTAAAATGCCTGCTGTGCAAGCATGAAGCTTGAATTTGGATCCCTAGCACGTGGTAAAATTCAAGCAAGACTACCTAGTCCTAGAAACCACAGATAAATCCCTAGAGCTTACTGAACACATAATCCATGCAGTCTGTGAGTGCCAGGTCCACTGAGACAGTGTCTCAAGAGATAATGTGGAGATGCATGCAGGGTGTTTGATCACACTGTGAACCTTGGGATTGCGTTAGTTACTCAAAAAACCTGCCTCTAGCTGTGGTGTGGCCCAACCCTAGTACACATCCTTAGTCCAGGAGCTTTCTGTTTATTGTATTCTATTATTTATTACTTAAATAAAATCAACCATAGGTCAAGAGGCAGAGCAAGCAACTGGTTAACATCAAGTAGCCATAGACAGTAAGAGGAAGTCAGGAAGACGGATAGAGAGATGCACAGGAAGCAGTAGGGAGGGACTTGCAGTTTGGCAGTCTTTTTTGATTTGGGATGGCAGGAGAAGCTCACTTTCTGGGACATAGGTGAAGGAGGAAGGTCAGCTGGCTGCTTTCTCTGCCTCTCAGAGCTAGCAGGTTTTCATGCAAGCATCTGGTTCTGTAGTCTTTATTGGTAAAAGAAAAGGATAGAGACTTAGTTAAAACAGCATTTGCCTTTCTACATGGACGGGGGCAGGCAGCAGCTACAGAGGCGCAGTCAGCAGCTGAGGCAGCAGTAAGATCAGGTGTAGATGCTGTGCATTCATATCAACAGATATGAATAGAGGAAAATACCTAGCATCTTCCTCTGGCCTTCTCATGCACTCGTGTACCTGCATATACCTGTGGAGCCATATATATATGTATATATATACATATATATATAATGTGTAATATATATTACACATCCATGCACATACCAAAAAGAGAGACGAAAAGCCACACAGAGTAGCATATACCTATAGTTGTAACACTTGAGAGATGGAGGCAGGAGACTCAGAAGTTCAAGGTTATCCTCAGCTGCATAGCAAGTTCTAGGTGATCCCGGGCTACATGAAATCCTATCCCAGAAAACCAAACCAACAAACAACAACAGCACAGGGAAATCAATTGCTTGGGGTTTTTGGTATTTAGAATCTATTTATCAAGAATCACTGTTTGTCTGGGAGTGGTGGCACATGCCTATAATCCCAGCACTGGGACACATAGGCTGATGGATCTCTGAGTTTGAGGCCAGCCTGGTCTACAGAATGGGTGGTCAAATGGCTAGATGATCTAGGCCTACATTTTGGAACCAGGCTAAATTAACAGTGGCTACTCTCTGTGTCTTCGCAACTTAGAAAATTTGGCTACCCTTTGAAGAATATGTTTACATCTCTATTCTATTGTTACTTTTGCCTTTTCCTGCTTCATGAATATCACTGAATGAATATGTCCCTGATTACGTTATGATCACTAGGTATTATAAACCCATTCTTCAGAAAATACGAGCCGCCAGAGCATAGTGAAGTCTCTCAAGCAAGTTGTGACACAACTGTGGGTACTGAGAAATTTTACAGCGTAAGTACTGTAACCTGCCAGGACCAAGATGCATTCAAGGATCTAACAAAGTATACCTGAGTTGCTGTTGTGTATTTGACATCAAAATGTTATCTATACAAACTAGATATACTAACTCTATAGGGCTATAGTCAATTAAAGAGTATAGACTGCTTTCAAGGCCAGCCACAACCCTGTCTCAACCCCGCCCCCAAAACCTAACAGGATGTGATACACATAACTGTTGATAATGAATATGATTGTAGTGGGTAGTGGTGGCTCACGCCTTTAATCCCAGCACTCGGGAGGCAGAGGCAGGCGGATCTCTGTGATTTTGAGGCCAACCTGGTCTATAAGAGCTAGTTCCAGGACAGGCTCCAAAGCTACAGAGAAACCCTGTCTTGAAACCCCTCCCTGAAAAAGAATATGATTGTAGGCAGGTATTTCTATCCTGCCAACCAGTTCCCAAATAATTACACAGAGACTTCTTATTAATTATGAAAGCTCAGCCATAGCTTAAGCTTGTTACTAACTAGTTCTTACAGCTTAAATTAAACCATTTCTTTTAATCTACTGCCTTTTACATGACACTGCCCATGCTGCTTCTTCTATGGTTCCTGGTGTCTCCTTGTGACTCTGCTTTTTTCCCCAGAGTTCTCTCTGCCCCCCAAATCTTGCCTAGCTATTGGCCATTCAGCTTTTTATTAAACTAATCTGAGTGACAAATCTTCACTGTGTACTAAAATATTATTTCACAACATTCTCCCCTTTTTGTCTAAATAAAAGGAAAGGTTTTAACTCTAACATAAAACCATAAACAATAAAAACAATGATCAAGTAAGCATTACATTTATGATATCTAGTCTATTTGTATTTGGCATATTTAGAGAAAATACACCATTATTTATTATAACTTGATGAGTCTAAAGCTCTGAACCTCATTTACCTTTTATCATAACTAAAGAAAACTATAACTGTGACTATCTAGTCTTAAACTCTATCAAAGATCCCAGAAGGATATAATATTACCTGAGTAAACAGGAAGTGTAATGTAAACCACTTCCAAACCTATAGAAATGACCGACATCTATCTACCTGTAATGTTGGGGCATCTTTCTTTGGCCTACAAGCCTAGAATATCTGAAGCAAGAATTTTTAAAGGATTGTCCTACCCTGTCTGGCAAAGTTTGACAGTCACTTTTCTTTGCATCCTCCATTTTGGACAGCATACTGTCAGCAGTCAAGGCAAGGGCAGTTTCTTGTCCATATGGCTAGCTTTTGCAATAAAGAAAGCAAACTCCATATGGAGGTTCTTCAATATCCATTATCCTTTTTTGAAGTAAATTGGCTCTTCCAGGAGCAGACATGTCTCACTGTCATGAAAAGCCTTGTGTCATTAAAACATCTAAAATGCCATATTCTATAGATCTCTGAAGTGTTTGAGGACCACCTATCTAAAATATATCTCTGTATGACCTTGAAAACATACAGAAAATGACATGTTTGGTTGTTATGGGTAACTAACTACAAACCTGTATTTTTTATTATCCTAAGTAGTTTGTAATAATAACTTTCAAGGACTAAAAATTCACATTGTTCAATGAGCTGTATAGGCATAACAAGAGTAGAAATGTATATATAGTATGTTTTAGCAAAAATTAACCTTAAATTTGTATTAATATGTAAAAATACATGCCAGTGTAAAATATTTTATACTAGTGGTTGTTCAGAAGGAGACTCAACAATCTACCCTTTTATCTCATTTTATACTATATCCCCTTTTTTCCCTTTAGAAAGAGATCCTTGAATCTAACTTCTTTGTTTAGTTTTTATTCCTGACCATAACAAATAAGAACTTGTAACCAACCCCCCTAAATGATGACAGACATCTATAACCCATCAAATGACCAACCGTCATCCACCCCACTTCTTGGTAATGTGGGCGTCATGTTCTTTAGACTGCTTCCTGTTGTCTGGGGGCACTAGAATCTTTAGGAGACCCTAGGAAAATTGAGATAAAGGTCAAGTACTGGGAGCATTAGCTGTATCATTTGTTGTCTAGTCTCCTTGCAGTGGGAAAGTTTAAGGCTTATCTGAAGTCTTGGCTGGAGTAGTCTGTGGAGCCTGGACTGCCTCAGCCAGAAGCCTTGAAGTTGTTCTGGATGCAGAACTCTCAGGAAACTGCAACAGAGGTGCTCTGATAGACTGAATCACCTGGCCAATCGTTTCCTTGGTGTCTGGTCCCCTTGCTCTGAAAACACATAAACTTTCAAAGATAGCAAAGATATGTGTATTAGTACAAGTATGGAATGTATGGCATGAGCAAGTCAAAGATGATGCTTTATGTTTGAGCAGGTAAAAGGCATATGTCAACTTTATAAGTTTGTTTGGGCTGTATAACCAAGCTGTAATATAAATCTTTGTCCATGCCATATGAAAGGATGATATGTAATAAGTCCTGAGGACTCTGTAGCCAACAAGATTCATCACGTCTCATCTCGGAGCTCTTCCTATATTACACATCACCTGTCCTGTAGTCTTTCTTAGCTTCATCCCCCATGTCTGTAGCCAAGATACTCAGGAGATCTCTTCCCCACGCCCCTGGTAAAAATATGAACTCTATTAATCTGGAAGGAATCCATAGCTTTTTGTTTCTACTGAACACAAAACCTCTCTCCCAATGCAACACATTGTCTGACTTTCTTTTGAAGTTAAGACATTTAAAATATATGTAGGTTGATTTAATTTAGCAGTTTCCATAATCCAATATCTCTCAGCAGCTATTGTTTTTATATATTAGCATTCAAAAAATTGAAGTTAATAAGATACCATATAGCTGGGCGTTGGCGGCTTATGCCTTTAATCCAAGCAGGCGGAAGGGGCAGGCGGATCTTTGAGTTCAAGGCCAGCCTGGTCTGTGAGAGCTAGTTCCAGAACAGGCTCACAAGCTACAGATAAACCCTGTCTTGAAACCCCCCTCCCCCCAAAAAAGATACCATATAGGATCCAGACTCCCTGTGTATTTCTATCCTTATGTGGCTTTTTTTAAAATCTGCTAATCTTTCAGAATGTTTTTATTGACAGTTACTGGACAAGTATAAGGCATGTTAACAGGCTCAGAAGTGAAGCACGGAGTTTGTTCATTCAGCAGCTCCTCTTCTTTGTACCAGATAGTACAGTCTGCCCCTGTGCACTTGAATGTGTATTGCTCACAACTGTTAGAGCATGCAGACCATGTTCAGGGACCACCATGGAGAATGTCTCAGAATAAGGAGTGAGCAGCTACAGACTAAGTCACTAGGTACCACAACTCACAGGGACACAAGTAGAAGGCGGCCAAATCTACCACTGCTACAGAGAACACGCTGGCAAGCATGTTTTTGTTTCTTCATGTTTGAGAGAAATGGAGTATATCCAGGATTCATGTTTTTGTATTTGCCACTGCCTACAGGTCACTAAAAGATACCTAGTTTTGAATAACTTCTAATGCACTTAGTTTGATTTCAGGGCACAATACAAGATTGCATGCAATACTTTCACAAAAGTCAAACACAGACAGTTTAATAACACCAGCGCTCAGGACTGTCTGGTGTATTTCTTTTTGGTGGTAGGATAGGGACGGAGAACGACAGTGGCTGGTTCTGCACAGCGCTCATGTGCTCAGCTCTAGCTAGCTGGACACTTCTGAGCACTGGCAAACTGGTAATGAGACAGCACAGAGCTCTCAGTGTGAGCCTCAGGTGTGGGGCTGCTGTAAACAGGTAGCCTGCTTCCAGGGTAAAAAAGTCTCAGTTCAAACTAATTTCAAATGTATTTTATAACTGATTTTCAAATTGTGGATCAGTTGGATCATAAGCACTTTAAAAGTTTAATAAGGGCCAGGTGGTGGTAGTGCACTTTTGATCCCAGCACTTGGGAGGCAGAGGCAGGCAGATCACTGTGAGTTTGAGACCAGACTGGTCTACAGAGTCAGCTCCAGGACAGGCATGACTGCTACATAGAGAAACCTTGTCTCGAAAAACCAAAATATAAAAATAAAATAAAAATGTATCAAGGAGAGCATACAGTTCCAGGTAAGAACCAAAGAGACTAAGAATCCTTACAATTGGTGCACTGCTTTGAGGGGCTCAGCAACTCTTTCCCCAGGAAGCTGCTCATTTCAGAGCTCCGCCCTACAGCAACCCAAACAGTGCATCACAGAGGCCCATACACAGCTGTCACTTGCGTGGAACTTGATATGGACTGCGTTCAAGACTCCATTGGTTAGCTTTGTGGTACTCAGGGCAAGAGTTTCATATCTGTGTTTATACTGGTGACAGGACACTGCTGTTAAGCATCACACAATGCAATTAGAGAGGAGTGACTACCTATAGCAACAGAAGGTAGTTCCCATCTTCTGGGCTGGTCGACAAGGATGCTGCAACAGGCTACCCTTCTGACAGTAGGTCCTCGCTGCCGCAGGTGTGGCGAGTGTTCTGCCCTGTAAGCCACTGCTTAAAGCACCCTTTGTGAAACTTGTGCCTACATTTCAGCACACACATGTTTTTTGGCTTGAACATCTTGTGGCATATCTCACAGGAATTTGCATCTGGTGCGGGGCTCACAGGATTATCTTCTCTTTTCTGGCCTTTGGTTTTGGATGATGGTCCAGCAACGGCCAAGGCTGCACTCAGGGAGGACTTAGCCACAGCAGCAGCAGCATGAGCCTCAGATGTCTTCTTGTCTTTTCCTGGATTTGCCTGATTCTTCTTCTGTTCCTCTAGAATGTGCTGTTATGCTTTCAACAGTCTCCTCAGTACTTACTCCAGAGAGTGAGTTCTTGTTTTTGTTTCTAACTTTTTAAACAAAACCAGCAAGCTCATAATATGGGAATACCCGTAGTGGCTTATTTTTATATTACTTTATATTTTCTTTAAAGACTTTATTATTATTTATAAACTGTTTACTTTTTTATGACTGTTTATGCTCATTTTTTTCTGCACTCATTTTTAAACACACTGTAACCTGTTTAGAAGTTCTTTCCTTCTGGATCTCTCTTTATGTTGAATCTGTAACATTTTCTGTCTGCATGAACAAAACTGAACACCTGTCATGTGGCTTAGCTCCTGGTGCACTGGCGGCTCACGCACATAGGCAGCTGCCAGGGGACATGTCTCTGTACCACTGCTGGCATGAGAGTGTAACTGGAGGTGTCTCTCCTGCCAGCAGTTCCTGAACAACCACTGAGGCTTAATATTAGTTACTAACTGGCTAGCTCTACACATAAATTAACCCATTTCTAATAATATGTATATTGCCACATATCTTGTGACTTACCAATAAAGCTCTGGCATCTTACCCCCCTGGTGGCTGCTGGGGTCTCTCTGACACCGCCTTCTTTCTCCCTGTAGCTGTTTGAATTTCCCTCCTAGCTGTATTCTGCCCTGTCACAGGCCAGGGCAGCTTCTTTATTAACCAGTGGTAATAAAACATTTACAGCATATGGAAGGGCATCCCACATCATTTCCCCTTTTTCTGTCTATTTAAAAAGGAAGGTTTTAACTTTAACAAAAGTCATATATAACAAAAGAGGTATCAAGCAAAAATCACAGTAACAATATTTAGTCTATTTGTATTTGGCAAAATTAAAGAAAATATTCTTTTCATCTACCTTTGCAAGCCTAAAATTTTATATCTAATTTATCTTTTATCATACCTAAGGAAAACTATAATTATAACTATCTAGTCTTCAGCTCCATCAAAGACCCCAGAAGGATATAATATTACCTAAATAAATAGGAAGTGCATTGTAAGCATCTTCCAAAACTCTAGAAATGACAGATAACTGGCTGCCTGGAGAGTCAGTCACCCAAAGTTCTTCTGCAATAAAGTGTCCGTCTGATTCCTCAGTGAAGCAGGAAATAACTGTCCCGCTTATATTGGCAGTTAGTCACTATCCGTCTAGCAGACTATTACATGAAGCAGGGACCCTGAAGGACTTCCATCTTGTTTTGGCAAGTTCAGCAGTCATTTTCATGTGGATCCTGCATGTCCAGTTTATAGAGCATACACTCAAGCAGTCCAGGCAGGAGCAGTTTCTTGCCTAAATGGCTAGGCTTTCCACATTGAAAGTAAACTCCATAAGGAGCTTCTCCAATGCCCATCATCCTTATGAAATAATCGGTGCTGCCAGGAGCAGACGTGTTTCACTGTCAAGAAAAGTCTAAGTTCTTAAAACATTTTAAATGCCAAATTTTGTAGGTCTTTTAAGTGTTTGAAGATTACCTATTCATCTGAAATATATTTCTGTGTTTCTAGAAAACCTAACTAATATGACTGTAAGTTTGACTATTATAGATGACTATTAATTTGTATTTAACTATATATTTTTAAATGAACTGTATAAACATAATACCTTAAACAATGGTAGAAATATATATATAGTATAACAAAATTGACTTTAAATTTGTATCAGTACATCAAAATCCATATCAATATAAAGTATTTTGAGATTAGCAGTTGCTTGTTAGATTAGATTTAATAATCTACTTTTTAATAATTTCTATATCATATCCCCTTTTTTCTTTATAAAGAGATTGACTATGACCATTAAGTAATTATAACCAACCCTCTTTAAATGAAAACAAACATTTATAAATAATACTGAATTGTTTACAAACAATATGAATTTGGTCATAGTTTTCTATACTGTTTCCTATGATTGGGGGCATTGGTAATTTTATGGAGATCTGAGAAAATTTAGAATTATGATTAAATGTTGGCTGTAGTAGTCTGTGATACTGCATAGTTTCAGCCAGTTGCCTTGAAGCTGTTCAGGATGTTGAATCACCTGGGCCATCGCTCCCATGGAGACCTCTCAGGTGGTCTTGCTTGATCAAACCATATTAGCCTGGAAGGAATCCACAGCTTCTCATCATCCGTGGAAACAAAAGCAACAGCGTATCCTTAGACCCAGATTTTGAAGTCAGGACACCTTTATATTGGCTTAGCTTAGCAGCTCTCATTGTCACATGTCTCTCTGCAATTAGCTCATTAACAGTCAAAAATTAAAACACAATAGTATTTTGTGTATTTTCTCTCTGTGTATTTTCCATCTTCGTGTGGTGGCTCTTTACTTTTATGTTATTGTTACTGTTATTGTTACTGTTATTGTCTCTTTAAAGACTTTGCTTTGTTTTACATACCATCTCTTTTTATAACTGTCTGTGCTGTTTGTTTTTATAACTGTCTGTGCTTTGTTTCAAACCTGGGTACATTCTTTAAACACACTGTGACTGTTTAGAGGTTTGTTTGTTTTTGTCTGAATCTTCCTTTATTGTGTATCTGTAATCATTTTTTGATCACTCTTTTAAACTGGCAAGTGGGCGTGGCTAGAACCAAAGCAGCCGCTTTGGCTGTTGTTTTCACCCAGCTTGGCTTTTCAACATGGTGGAAGTAGCAATGAGCATCACACTTACCCACCCCAACCCCAAGCTGCTGTCAGGTAGCGTGTAGCTGATCCACAAACCTTTTTGTGTGTATGAGCAAAAGCCAAGTCTGTCACACAGTGCAGGCCTCTCTGTACTGAGGCCTGTGTGAGTCTACCTCATAGCGGCTGGTGTCCAGCTCCATCGTGCAGGCAGCTGATTGGGAGACACGTCTCTGTACTGCTGCTGCAAAGAGACTGTGACACCAGGAAGCCCAGTGTGACTCCATTTCTGTAAGTTTAGAGGTTGTTTCATTTTTTAAAGCTTTCTCAGGCCCTATGGAAACCCGAGAGCCTCACGTTGGTACACCATTTATAACTGGAGGTTTATCTCCCACCACCACTTCCCAGATAACCACTCTGAGGCTTAATATCAAGTACAAACTGTCTGGCCTATTAGCTTATGCTTCTTACTAGCTAGCTCTACATATAAATTAACCCATTGCTAATAAGCCATATATCGCCATGTGCCCCATGACTTACTGATAAAACTCTGGCATCTTACCCCTCTCATGCCTGCCGGCATCTCTCTGACACTGCCTTCTTTCTTCCTGTATCTGTTTGAATTTCCTGCCTATACACTGCCCTGTCATAAACCAAAACAGAGTCTTTATTAACCAATGTTAATAAATTATTCAAACCATACAGAAGGGCATCCTATCCTACATCATGAGACACATGAGACTAGGAAGCCATGTTTGGCTTTGATTTCGATGTTTAGAATGTTTTTTATAAGTTTTCTCAAGATTTATATGGATATATGTGGCCCCCACATTGGGTGCCGTTTGTAGGCAGATATTTCTGACTCGTTAGCCAGCTCCCAAATAACAACACAGAGACTTTTTATTAATTATAATAGCTCAGTCATAGCTTAGGCTTGTTACTACTAAAACTAGCTCTTTTTTTTTTCAAGACAGGGTTTCACTGTAGTTTTAGAGCCTGGGCTGGAACTAGCTCTTGTAGACCAGGCTGGCCTTTAACTCACAAAGATCCACCTGCCTCTGCCTCCTGAGTGCTGGGATTAAAAGCATGCACACCACTGCCCTGCTACTAACTAGCTCTTACAATTTAACCCATTTATTTTAATCTATGGTCTTTTACCTTTATTCTGTACTGCCCATGCTGCTTCCTCTGTGGTTCCTGGTGTCTCCTTGCAGCTCTGCCCTTCTTTCCAGTGTTCACTCTGACCCCCCTCCCAAAATCTTGCCTAGCTATTGGCTGTTCAGCTTTTTATTAAACTAATTCAAGAGACAAATCTTCACAGTATACAAAAAGATTGTTCCACAACATACTACAGTGATAAAACAAGATTTTTTTTTAAACATTGAACTTGTTTTGTTTTCCAAGATAGTGTTTCTCTGTGTAACAGCCTTGGATACCCTGAACTAGCTCTTGTAGACCAGGCTGGCCTTGAACTCACAGAGATCTGCCTGCCTCCTCTGCCTTACAAGTGTTGGGATTAAAGGCGTGCACCACCACTGCCCAGCCTAAATGTTGAACTTATTTTTATGTTCATTGGTGTTTTGCTTGCATGTATGTCTGTGCAACGGTGCCAGATTCCCTGTAACTGGAGTCACAGACAGTTGTGAGCTGCCTTGTGGGTGCTTGGAATTGAACCTGAGTCCTCTGGAAGAGCAGCTGGTGATCATAATCACTGAGCCATCTCTGTAGTCTACATTTGTGAGATTTAAAAAAAAATATCATTGTGTGTATGATGCATACGTGTGGGCATATGTTCCATGGCTCATATGTAGAGGACATTTTGGAGTTGATTCTCTTCTTCCACTTTTGTGTGGGTTTTAGGGATAGAATTCAGGTCACGAGGCTTATGGGGCAAGTGCCTTACTTACTGAGCCATCTTACTAGTCCAGTATATGAAGTCTTTTGAACAATATGGTACACAGTTGCATTTACTTAGCTCACACAAACAGGGAAGGACGTTTATTCTTTCTACCATCTGAGGGCTGGGAAGATGGGCTCTACATTGAACACACTGACTTAGCTGACGAGTCTCTCTAGTACTTGTTAGAGTATTGCACAAGGGACAACGCTGGGAAGAAGTAAAAGTCACACAGTGGAGGTGGAGGGAGGGCTTGTTGTTGAGAGGAACACAACTCACAATATTGTCTGGAAAAATGGTCTTTTCCTGTACTTCTCAAGGTAACATCAAGAGGGCTTAGTATATAGCTCTGTGTAGAGCACTTCCCTAGCATGCACAGCACTGAGCCAACAAAACAAAAATATCAAGAAATGATCTCTTTACTTTTTAAAGATGCATTTGCATTTAGTGAGCCTATTTTCTTTGCTTATTTTTTTAATAGACCTCAAGTCCCATAGAAGAGGACTTTGAAAGAATCCAAAATCCTTTGGCTAAACCTCAAGGCTATGGTAAGTTCCAAGGCAGGTTTCTTTAGAATCCTTTGCCTTTATTTTCTGTTGGATGTTAGATTATAGGTGTTTACAGCTTGAGATGGGAGATGCTTAGAAATAACCTTGTTCATCTGGGCGTTGGTGGTGCATGCCTTTAATCCCAGCACTTGGGAGGCAGAGGCAGGCAGATCTCTGTGAGTTGGAGGCCAACCTGGTCTACAAAAGCTAGTTTCAGGACAGGCTCCAAAGCTACCGAGAAACCAAAAAAAAAAAAAAAAAAAAAAAGGAAGGAAGGAAGAAAGAAAAGAAAAACCTTGCTCAGACTTTTTTGCAGATGAGAAAACCAAGCAAGGCTCAGTGACCCTTCCTCATGAGAATGATTCCTTTTGGGGACTGGGGAGATGACTCAGTGGCCAAGAGCACTGGATGCTCTTCTAGAGGACATGGGTTCCATTCTCCTCCTCCTCCCACATATGATTTCTTTTGTTGTTGTTGTTGTTAAATATTTATTTATTTATTTATTTATTTATTTATTTATTTATTTATTTATTATGTATACAATATTCTGTGTGTGTGTATGCCTGAAGTCCAGAAGAGGGCACCAGACCCCATTACAGATGGTTGTGAGCCACCATGTGGTTGCTGGGAATTGAACTCAGGACCTTTGGAAGAGCAGGCAATTCTCTCAACCTCCGAGCCATCTCTCCAGCCCCCCCACATATGATTTCTTTGGCTGAACCTCAGGTACCCTTGCCTGTCCTGGAACTAGTTCTTTAGACCAGAAATCGCCTGCCTCTGCCTCCTGAATGCTGGAATTAAAGGCACCCACCACCCCCACCCAGCCTGGATTCCATTCTTAGGATCCACATAGAAGTTCAATTGTCTATAACATCAGTCCCAGGGTATCTGATGCCCTCTTCTGGCCCCCACAGGCACTGCGTGTACTTGCTGCACAAACATATATACAGGCAAAGCACCCATACACATAAAATAAATGTAAAGGTTAAAAACAAACAAACAAAAGAATGAGTCCTATCCTCCTCAGCGGGCTCCCAGTAGCCACACGTTGTGTTGACGTGTTTTCTAGGTGGTGCTCACTCACAGAACTGTAGGTCCCTGATGGCACACAGCTGGTTGTCTTTCTTGACCATCCTGAGGGATCTACACAGCCACACAGCTGCTTATTGATAGCACAAAAATTAGAACTTGATTTCTGGTCTTTCTTCACCCTAGAAGTCAGAATGTCACCATCATTTTCCTTTGTTTAGCGTCTTTATTTTCTTTTAAAATTTATACTTTTAATCCCAGCACTTGGGAGACAGAGGCAGTTGGAGCCCTTCAAATTCAGCTTGGTCTACAGAGTGAGTTTCAGGACAGCCAGGACTCCATAGAGAAACTTGTCTTGAAAAACAAAATTTACACTTTTAAAATTAATGTAAAAACAGGATTTTGTTGTGATGTTTTCATATTATACACACACTCTGCCTATAGTCAAGGATTTCCTTGTTCCCCTATCTTGTTTCTAGAGTGTGCATATGCTGTAGGAGGCGCTTGTTTGTTCCCTGCTGCTCAGCCCTGAAATAAACACACAGAAGCTGTATTAATTAAACCATTGCTTGGCCCATTAGCTCTATCTTCTTTTTTTTTTTAAAGATTTATTTATTTATTATGTATACAACATTCTGCCTCGATGTATGCCTGCACGCCTGAGGTGGGCGCCAGATCTCAGTATAGATGGTTGTGAGCCACCATGTGGTTGCTGGGAGTTGAACTCAGGACCTCTGGAAGAGCAGCCAGTGCTCTTAACCTCTGAGCCATCTGTCCAGCACAGCTCTCACTTCTTATTGGCTAATTCTTACATCTTATTTTAACCCACTTTTATTAATCTGCTTATCGCCAAATGGCTGTGGCTTACCTGAGGTGGCTACATGGCATCTCTCTGACCCCTTCTTTCTCCCACCATTCAGTTCAGTTTTCCCCGCCTACCTCTATTCTGCCCTGCACAAGCCCAAGACAGTTCCTTTGTTAATGTTATTCATAGCATACAGGCGGGAATCCCACATCATGCATATGAGATAAAATATGCAGTGTTTGTCTTCTGCATCTAACTTTTTTAACGTTATGATCTTCAATTCTATTTTCCTACAAATAACAATTTTATTCTTCTTTTTTTTTTCTTTTTTGAATTTTTCGAGACAAGGTTTCTCCATAGATTTTTGGCTCCTGTCCTGGAACTAGCTCTTTTAGACCAGGCTGGCCTCGAACTCACAGAGATCCGCCTGCCTCCCGAGTGCTGGGATTAAAGGCGTGCGCCACCATTGCCCGGCTTCATTCTTCGTTATATCTGAATAAAACTTGTTATGTATACACAACAAATTTTCTTTATCCATTTGTCTGTTAACTATCTAGGCTGATTTCATATTTTGGCAGTTTTCAATATGCTTACAATCCTACAAAGCAGTAACAGCCAATTTTGCAGATTCAACTTAATATACTAGGAAGACTTTGGTTTGTTTGTCTTTTTTTTTCTCTTTGAAAGCAGAGTTGGGATTTTATTAGTTATTAATACAGGCTTAAGCACTAGAGAATCAGCAAATAAGATGTCCCTGAGAGTCATGTGTGGGCTTGTCTGAGAGTCTCCTTTTTCTTTCCTGTCTCTTTCTTTTTTACATTCATGTATGCATATAAGTGTGGAGGAGAGCTACACATGTGGATCAGAAGACAATGTGGAAATCAGTTCTCTGCTTCTACCGTGTGGGTCCTGGGCCTCTAATTCTGGTTATCAGGCTTGGCAGCAGATGTCTTTACCTGCTGAGTTACTTTCCATTTGCCTTCTCTTTCCCTCACCCCCGCCTTGATGCCAGTTTCACTATTTAGCCCCCTCTTCCCCAGACTGACTTTGAGGTCATGATCTTCTGCATCAGCCTCTGAGTTCGGAATTATAGGCCTTGTCATCATGCCCAACTTGCAGCCCCTGATTCTCTGTGTGTCTTAGAAAGAACTTTCCATTACATAAGAAAGTAACAGTGGAGCAGCAGGCAGGGTAGTGAGCTGTTGGTTCTGCAACAGAAGCTAGACTTGAAGCTGGGGATGTGGTTTAGTTCATAAAGTGTTGCCATGCAAGCATGAGAACCTGATTCTGATCCCCAGAGCCTGGCATGGTGGCACACACTGGTAATCCTTTCACCAGGGAGGCAGATACAGGCGGATCCCTGGGGCTTCCTGGCCAGCCAGCCAGCCTAGCCTACTTTGCAAGCTCGAGCCCAGTGAATGACTCTGCCTCCAAAAAGGGTGGATAGCTCCTAAGGAGCAACACTTGAAGCTGACTTCTGGCCTCTGCATGCACATGCAGTGTGTGCATACTCATGAACTCACATTTAGACACAAAGCTGGAAATGATACCACACACGTACTAGCAATTTACCAAGACCCTGTCTCAAAGTAAAAAGGCCTGTGGGTCAGGATGCATTTTAGTAGCAGAGCAGCTGCCTGTTGTGGGTATGTTCCTGTGTTCAGTTCTAGGACTGGAAAAGAGCTGCAAGCTTTAAGATGAGGTTACATTCTCAGGATTCAGACTATGTATATTAAAAGACCCCAGGGTTGAGCTAGGTGGTGGTGGCACATGTCTTTAATCCTAGCACTAGGAGGCAGAGGCAGGCAGATCTCTGAGTTCCAGAACAGTCTGGTCTATAGAGCTAGTTCCAGCATAGCTAGAGCTGTTACACAAAGAAACTTGTCTTGAAAAAACCAAACCAAACCAACCAACCAAACAAACAAACAAAAAAAAACCCAGGGTCTAGGGACACTCATCTTTTTTGCAGTCTTTACCAATGACCACTTTCTGTGTGTCTGGTATAAACATGGCCACTGATTCGGATGAGTGTTCTGCTAGACAAAGGAATGGTAGAACAGTTAGAACAGAAGACCAGGGCCGGTTCTGAACAAACGTCTGAAGTGGATGAAAATCCTTGGGCTTCTATTGTGTTCCGTTCTTACAGCCTTTCCCTCCATTCTCCTACAATGTATACCCCCTTCCCTTGTAGCAGAAGTAACAGTGAGAGGCCTGCTGGTTCTCAGCTTTTTCTACCTCTGGCTTTTGTAGATCCTTGGCCAAGCTACTTACTCCCAAGATTCCATTTCCCTCTCGTGCTAAAGATAGTAACAAATTGTGGTTACTAGTTTATGCTTTCTTGATGTTTATCTTTTTAAAGGAATGTCACAGGAAGGGGAATCCCAGCCCCCAGCATTTCTCTATTAGTCTGGTTTCAGAGCTTCTTCATGCCTGCTATAGGCAGTGCTGTTCTGGTGGACCTTTCTGGGCCCATCAGCCAGCTGGACCTTAGGAGTGGGGAAATGGAATCTGTCGTTCTATCTGTAGACAGTTTAACAAAGGAAAGAAAGGAAAATGAATGGCAGTCTGTTTGTCTACATACTTGAGAAGCATCTTAGAACTGGGGAAGTCTAACCTCAGACACTTGATACCTGGAAAAGCAGAAGACTCTAATTCCCTTTTCAGCACTTAATACCCCTCTCCCTGCTCTTCTGTCTTTAGAGGGTGTTGATAGCTAAGAGGCATATTTTTTACTGTCTGGAAATCCCCCGTTCATGATCTTCCCTGCAAACCCCTGGAGGTGAGAACCAAACCCAGGACCTTGCTCAAGTGCTCTACCACTGAGCTAAAGCTAAATCCCCCACCACTGCCACTTTGGATTTAGAATCTTTTTTTTTTTTTTTTTTTTTTTGGTTTTCAAGGGTTTCTCTGTGTAGCCCTGGCTTTCCTAGAACTTACTCTGTAGACCAGGCTGTCCTAGAACTTCTAAGTGCTGGAATTAAAGGCATGCACCACCTGATTTTTTCTCTTGTTTTTGTTTTCAAGACAGGGTTTTTTTGTGTAGCCCTGGCTGTTCTAGAACTAGCTCTGTAGAACAGGATGGCCCTCAACTCACAGAGATCCTCCTGCCTCTCCCTCATAAGTGCTGGGATTAAAAGCATGTGCCACCACTACCAGGTTCAGTTTGGCTTCTTGAAAAGACAAAATAGCCTTTGTTTGCAGAAATAACTGTAAATCGTTTGGTTGTGTTTTGAGTGTTGGAATAAAGTTCTCCCTTCTGAGTTTGCACACACTGTGGCACGCATGTGGAGGCCTGAAGACAACTCTTAGTTGGTTTTCTCCTGCCATTTGTGGGATCCAGAGACCTAATTTAGGCTGTCAAGCTTCTGGGCAAGTGCCTCTACCTTCTGCGGTATCTTGAAGCCCAACCCAAATGATGGTGATGGTTTTTTTTTTAATTTTTTTTTTTTGAGACAGCATCTCCCTATGTGTTATTTAGTCTGGCTGTCCTAGAACTTGCAATGTTAGCCAGACTAGTCTTGAGCTCACAGAGGTCTGCCTCCCTCTGCCTCCTGAGTGTTGGAATTAAAGTGAAACTACATTTTCTTTATCATTTCAGTTGAAGAAAAGTTTCAAATAAGAGAATTCTTTGGAAAGACTGCTGAGAGTTTGACTGAGCCTCAGTTCCAAGCTAAGCAAAGGTACAACTGTTATTTTTGTATTCAGTTTCAGGCTTAGAACCAACATTTATTGGCAAAAGTAATTATATGTATGTATTACTTACATTCAGGTGTGTTATTCACTATCATACAAATCAGTTCTGTGCAACTTAAAAATATTAGGACTTGTTCAGCAGAATTTGATGGGTAGTGAAAGGGAGTAATTATTTTTATTCAGATCCTGGTTCTTGACATTTTATCCATATGACTTTGGTCATAGGTCTCTGCCTCTTTTCTGTCACATCTTTAAAATAGGAATGATAAAGTTAGGCCTGGTGGACTATGCCTTTAATTCTAGCACTATAAGTTCAGGGCAAGCCTGATTTACATAGCAAGTTCCAGGACAGGCAGAGATACACAGTGAGATCCTGTCTTAAAAATGAATGAACAAATAAAATAGGAATAATAATTCTGAGAATACTGACATAGGCATTAAAGATAACTACAACTTCTGGATATTTGTTCCTAAGAAACAAACTCTTAAATCATCACAAAACATATGCATGAATATTTGTAGCAGATTGATTTGTAAATACTCCCCCAATGGAAACCCAGATGCCTCACTGAATGATGAAACAGTAGTACACATCTATACGTTGAATACTACTCAGCAGTAAAACGTGTCAGAAATGGTACAGGTGCACATTTTTAACCCCAGCACTTGAGCAGAGGCAGGTGGATCTCTGAGTGCCAGCCTGGTCTACAGAGTAAGTTCCAGGACATCCAGGACTACATAGAGAAACCCTGTCTCAAACAAACAAACAAAAAAGATTTAGTGTGAGATCTGCTTATAGTTCTCTGTCCCATGAGTACTGAAATTGAAGCTTAAGTATTGGTTGAAGTAGATGGGTCAAGTTTGTCTTCAGTATCTCTTCTGGCCTCAGAGTTGCTAAAGCCTTACGTCTGTGACCTTTGCTCCATGTCTGCCTCCCAGCAAAGGTCCTGTGCTCCAGTGGCTTTCTAAGGTAAGGAACTTGGTCACTGTCACGTAGATCAGCTGGCTTATTTCAGAGCTGGGATCATCCTTTGAGAGTATTTGTCTAATCCATGGAGAATAATTGAGACCCAGAAACGCTGAAGAACTTGTGACTGATTAGCACCTGCACCAGAACTAGAGCTCATACTTTCTACTTCTGAATTTTGTGCTCTCTCCATTGCCTCTCCCTTGACTGGGGAGCTGGTACCAAGTTAGTGTGCTTGACTGACAAGTACTCTTTCTTTTTCTTATGTTTTCTCTCTCAGTGCTGAAGATAAGCAAGAAGAGGCCTTAGAGGAGACACTGAAGGAACTGAAAGAGAAAGACATGTGCGAATGCCAAAGAGTAGCTATGGAGATTTGTATAGTCTTGGTTTCGTGGACTATTTCCTTGTTCTTAAGAATCTGTCCCTTCCATCATCATCATCATCAGAAAGACTCAGGCTGTGCAGTGCAGGGAAAGGGCAGCTTTGTGGAGTTGTTTCTTTTCTTCCACCTTTACTTGGGTTCTGGGGATCAAACTCAGGTTGCCAGGCTTGCTCAGCAAATGCCTTACCCATTGAGCATCTTTCTGGCTCTTATTCTTACCATAAATATATTTAATGTAACCATCTTTCTTTTTTCACAAAAAGCTGTTATTAAATTGATGATATGATCTATTATTAATAGCATCTTATAATCAAGGAAATACAGTAATGATGGTGATTATGGTAATAAGGTTACTACTTGAGATAGATTAAATGTACTTTCTTCATAAATATCCTTTTATAAATGGGAAGTTTTATTTTATCAGTCAAAATATGTTACAAATTATATATATTTTTTGTCTTGTGATGCCAGGAATAGAACTCCAGGGCCTGTCTGTCACACACTTGGCAAGTGCCCTGCTGCTAAACCACATCTATAGCTCAGTATCTCTTTTTTGTTTGTTGTTTGTTCCTTGATTTAGGAGTGAAAGAGTTATAGGCATGTTCCACCCCTGTCCCCAACCCCACGTTTGTTGTTTTGCTGATTATTTTTTTATTTAGCCTGGGGCCTTGGACTGACTGTGTTGCCTAGGCTCACCTTGAAGTTGAGGCAGTCCTTTTGCCTTAACCGCTGAAGTGCTGAAGTTGTGGGCATGAGCAAACTACCACTCCTGGATCCAGCATCGATTTTAAGATAGATATTTTAAATTTCTATTTTATTTGCATTGGTATTTTGCATACAAGTACGTATACTTGTGTGGTATGCCCAAGGAAGTCAGAGGAGGGTATTGGATTTCCCTAGAACTGGAGTTACAGTTGGTTCTAAACTATTGTATGGGTGCTGGGGATATTTCTTAATATTTTCTTTAGATAGTCTCTGCTCTATTGGAAGCATAATCTTTGTTTTTTTGGGACACGGTATCTCTGTAGCTTTAGAACCTGTCCTGGGACTCCCTTTCTAGACCAGGCTGGCCTCAAACTCACAGAGATCTGCCTGCCTCTGCCTCTCAAGTGCTGGGATTAGAGGCGTGCATTACCACAGCCCAGCGAAAAAGTACACTCTAAACGTTATTATTAGAGCAGAACATGGTGGTCCACATCTGCAATCCCAACATTAAGGACTCTGAAACAGTAAGATCATGAGTTCAAGGCTAGCCTATGGTGAGTTCAAACCCATCACAATAAAAGAAGTTCCAATCAGGAATATAGGAATGTATTGTTCTGTTTTTCCAAATATCTCACCACATCTCACAATTACTTTGTTCCTTTAAGACAGTCCTGCAACCAGGTGGTGGTGGTGCATGCCTTTAATCCCAACACTCAGGAGGCAGAGACAGGTGGATCTCTATGAGTCTGAGGCCAGTCTGGTCTACAGTGTGAGTTTCAGGAAAGCCAGGACAGCTGTTACACAGAGAAACCCGGTCTCAAAAAATAAGAATAATAATAAAAAAAAAGACTGAGTCTTGCAATGTAGTTGGGTTGGCTTTGAAATCACTGTAGCTTAGGATGGCCTTGCAGTCATGGCAATCCTCCTGCCTTAGCCTCTGAACAGGTGGGTTAACACAGTTATATCACCATGACCAGCTTGCTATGTGTTCTTTAATTCTTTAGATCACTGACAGACATTCAAGACCTGTCGAGTATCTCCTGTGAACAAGACAGCTGTTTCAAGGAAGCCTCATGCAGAACACCCAGATTAAAGCATGCACCTACTAGTGTCAGCACTCCGCTCAGCCCAGGTAATAATCGGACACAGGGAGGAATGTTCTAGAGGACGAATTTACACACCCTTCTATTTGTCCTAGTTGGGCATAGTCCTGATGTCTGTTTTCTCCCAAAATGAAGGTGTGTTCTTTTCTTTACTTCTTTTTGTTGTTTTGTTTTTTGAGACAGGGTTTCTCTGGGTATCCCTGACTGTCCTAGAACTAGCTCTGTAGACCAGTCTGGCCTTAAACTCAGATCTGCCTGCCTCTGCCTCCTGAGTGCTAGGAGTAAAGAAGTGCTAAAATACTTGCTCTTATTATATGTGTATGGATGTTTGTTGTAGGCGAAAGGGTCACTTACTCGTTCCCGGCTGTCCAGCTAGCCTAGATCAGAAATAATTACACAGAAACTGGATTATTTAAATCACTGCTTGGCCCATTAGCTCTAGCTTCTTATTGGCTAACTCCTCATATCTTAATTTAACCCAATTCTATTAATCTGTATATCACCATGAGGTCATGGCCTATCAGCACAGTTCCAGCACGTCTGACTCTGGCGGCGACTCCATAGCATCTCTCTGACTCTTCCCTTCTTCCTCCCAGCGTTCATTTCTGTCTTCCCCATCTACCTAAGTTCTGTCCTATCAACAGGCAAGGCAGTTTCTTTATTCATTAACCAAGAAAAGCAACACACAGACAGAAGGACCTCCCACACCATTTTCCTGCACATGTTTGTGTACTGCATGCTTGCAGTGCCCACGGAGACGAAAAGAGGGCGACTGATCTTTGGGTCTGGCATTTACAGCTGGTTGTGAGCCACCAAGTGGTTCCTGGGAACAGAATCTGGGTCCTCTAGAACAACAAGTATTCTTAACTGCTGAGCTCTCTCTAGCCCTGCAAAGGTATTTTTTTTTAAGAGTCAGAACTAAACAGTAACTTCCAGGTAGAGCTATAGTGTAACCATGTAGCAGACCCTCCCTGCTGGAGACAGCCTGTTGCAAATGGAGACAAGTTGGGTTTTAGCACTGGGCTGCCTTCTCCTCAGAAACAATGAAATATTCTCCTAGCTAAATAGCCATATCTCTTGAATTGTCTTTTTATTTGTTTACTTTGATGTTGGGGATCAAATATAGGACTTTGTAAAGCCAGGCAAGTTCTCTACCACTGAAATATATCCCTAGAACTATCCTCTCTGATTTTTTATAAATTGCAAAAATGCCACAGGCATGGTAGAAAAAAAAATAAAGAATTCTTTATTTCCCCCTTGCTTTCTGATTTAGTAAAACTATAACAAACCCAGTTTTCATCACCAATTTGTGTTTTTGATTTTCTTTGAGAATGCAGGGCAACCAAGGCAGAAGGTTATCTACCTGAGTTTGCATTGAAAGTGGTAATGGTGCTCTAGTTGTTATTGGAAGCCAGTGTTAGAGTGCAGTGGTGGAAACAATGTGGAGCCTACTCTGAATCCACAAATACCTAACTTAACTGCCGGATACTAGCCATACAGTCCTTGAATCCTGCTGTTACCACATGTAACCAGCATCAAATAGTTTTGCTGCAGGGTTCTTATTTTTGGTAAATTTGTGACTTAATTTCCTTTTATTTCATTTTGATGACCAGCTTTATATATATATTTAATATCCTGAGATCCTAAGAATATAGAGCTTTAGACCTGAGGAGCTGTTTCAGATTCATGGTTGTTTCAGTTATTAGCTATCTGGAAAATTCCAAGCATAATTACAGTTTATGATGGTTTATAATGTAAAGAATTTAGACACTTACTGCCCTCTTTTCTCCTAGAGTCAGTTTCTTCAGATGCTAGTCACTATGAAGACTGCCTCCGCAGTACCACATTTCAGGTTAAAAGAGGATCTGCATTTTGTCGGAGTGGTCAAGAATCTATGAGAATTTTGTCTGCCGAATTTATAACTGTCCGAGAGAGAGCAAAGAGCCTGGAGTCTCTCCTGGCTTCTTCTAGGCCTCTGCCTGCAAAACCGGTTGATCCCGTAAGTGTCCAGTTTTGCATTTCACTTTCATGAGGTCAGTCCAAGGCCCTCAGTGATAGAAAGGGCTGAGAATTCTCCAAATTCATTGAGAAGCAAGAACTGTGCTGCATTGCTCCCAGGCATCCCTGGGCTTCTCTCTGGAGTCTGTTCTGGGAGGTTTACATCGTGCTTCTTGACACATGCTGTCTCCCTGAACTTGCAGGAGAATTCATGTTATAGCACCTTCTCCTCGCCCATGAGTTCTTTTTTCTTTCTCCCTCATATTGCACTTTTAGTCTTTAGAAGAAAACCACAAATTCCTACATAATACTTCTCATTAAAAACCTTTTGGCTGACACTCTGTATTAGTTGATTTCTGGTGCCAAGGTGAAACACTGACCAAAATCAACTCAAGGGAAGAATGGGTTAATTTGGTTTATAGGTTATAGTCCCTCAACTAGGGAAGCCAGGGCAGTAGCCTGAGGGTAAGATTTGAAGCAGAAACCCTGGAGGAACTCTGTTGTCTTGGTTACTGCTATTGCTGTAATAAACACCAAGATCAAGGAGATTGGGGCCTTGCTTACAGTTTGAGGGCTAATCCCTGAATCACCGCAGAAGCATAGCAGGCAGGCATGGTGTTGAGGCAGTAGCTGGAAGCTCACATCTAATCCACAGGTTACATACAGAGCACAAACTGGGCCTAGCATGGGCTTTTGAAACCTCAGAGCCCACCCTCAGTGACACCAGTTCTCTAACAAGACCATGCCTCCTAAATCTTCCAAAGCAGTTCACCAACGAGAAAGCAGACATTCAGCTATGTAAATTTGTGGGAGCCATTCTCATTCGAATCACCACAGTTGTTTACTGGCTTTCTCCTGGCTTTTCAGTTATTTTTCTTATATAGTCCAGACCATCTGCCTAGGGGGTGGAACTGCCCACAGTAGTCTGAGGCTTCCTACATCAGTTAGCAATTAAGAAAATGCCTCAGACATTCCTATAGGCAAATCTGATGGCAGCAGTTCTTCAGGTGACAACTAGGTATGTCAAGCTGACAACTAAAGCCAACCATGATGCCTTCTTGGAAGCAGAGTGGTTACTTTCCTTAGCATTCAATGGGAAACTGATTGTAAATGTTTTTGGTATTTGGCTCACAAAGTTCCACTCAGAAGTGAGAAAATAACAAGGAACTTTATGCTTTCACTCAATGAACTGTTAATTGAGCAGATTCTAAGTTCCAGGCACCATATCCAAACCTGAATAAGAAAGATACAGGCCCTATCTAAAGTTACCAGTGGCGTAGTGAGGGGACAGGCCCAATGTGATTACTAAGTGCTCAGCAGAGACAAAGCTTCCTGGGGAGCTACCTATTGAATTTGTGACTTACTCTCAAAAGTGAGTACAAATTACTAAGCTACATATATGCCTTTTCACCTAGTGCACATGATGCTTACCATATTTTATGTCTCAAATTCTTTTCTTATAGAAAAAATGGTCTGCGATTAGTGGAGTTGGTTCTTCTAACATTTCTATGCCATCTGTGACATCAGCCCATGCTATCCAGAGGAAGCACCTACCCAGAGGTACCCTGTATTTAATATCAAAGAAGTATGAGAGTAAGCCAGTTTAAGAATGCTTAGGTTGATGTTCATCAATGTTTGATGTGACATTTGGTTTAAACAAAAATATTAATAATGTGAATAAAGAAGTTTAAAAAACAAAATGATCAAATAATCATACCACAGCTTGCTGTGTTTGGGTACATTATCTTCTTTCATAGTTTGGGGTATATATAACAAATACTTGAGCTTTTGTAATTATGCCATTTATTAGTTCTAGACTGTGTTTCTCCTTGACATATGCTCAGCTTCCTTACCCATTCATTCATTCCTTATCCAAGGATTCAATCAGTGTCAGATGAAAAGTATTTGAAAAAAGATTGCATCTACTGTATTGTATATGTATAGCTGCTTTTTCTCATCTTTCTTCCCTACCTAAACAGTGTACTGTATCAGTGGTTTACATGGCATTTGCATACTATTAGGTATTATGAACAATCAAATACTATGCCACTTTGCATAAGGAACTCATGGATTTTAGTATTGCCAGACTGAGTGATTCTGGAAATACTTGTAAACAACAAACGCTAATTGTATTTTGAGCCTTTCCTCTTATAATTAAGAATTATTCATAAATATATAGTAGCTCCATAATAATAGACTCTGAAAATATTGCTTAATCATTATCTTCTTTGAAAAATTTATATTGTTTTCCAAGTTTTGCCCTTTGTACATAAGTCTTATCTGAACCTCTGACTGTTCTTAGGATAGACTTAGAAGACAGTTTTTAATTACACAAGAATGCTAGAAACTTCTAGGGCATGTTACATTTGTTGCAATAATTTTGTTATAATAATAATTTGTTGCAATGTCTAAGGCCTTCCTTTGCTATAGCCCTGATGTGGGAGTGTCATATATCAATCTGTTGATTTCATTGGTTAATTAAATAAAGAAACTCCTTGGCCCTGATAGGTTAAAACATAGGTGGGAGGAGTAAACAGAATAGGATGCTGGGAGGAAGAGGAAGTGAGGTCAGAATCTGCTCTGCTACCGGGGAGACTCAACAGCTCTGCTCTCTGGAGCAGAGACGCCAGGCTCCTCTCTCCCAGGCAACTCCAATCCAGGATGGACGTAGGCTAGAATCTTCCTGGGCATAAGCTAGCAGGCAGCCGGGGTACTGGGGCTCCTATTTCAACATAGCCCTTGGAATTTCTCTCCAGGGAAGAGAAATTTTTGTATGTTATATTGACGGGCTTGCTATGTATAATTTAGCACTTGGGGAAAGACCCAAAATACAGTTGCTCCCATATTTCTTGGCTTGATAATCTACAGAGAAAGGCCTCTTGCTTTGTGTTTTTGTTCATTTTGGCTTATCCAGAACCTCTGTGTTCTCCCACAACCTGCTCCAGGTCATCCTCAAGCCTCTTAGTAAGAATTTGTATCTTAATCTGATTCAAGTGACCTTAGAGAGAAGCAAAGAGTGGAGTAGATGGGATGAAAGTGGAGAGTAACACCACACATGTATTAAGGAAGCCTCCACTGAGAATGTCATGAGAGATGCTCTCATGTGCTTTAGTTTATTTCACCACTGAGAAAGCCTTAAGTCTGTGAAACCCTAGAAAATTACAGTTCCTGTCTAGGAGGGTGTTAAGTCATTTCCCCTTATCTTTTTCTAGTGGAAACCACCTCTCAGCATCATGTCAATGAGCTTCCACCGCCAGCTCTGGAGCTCCTTGATGAAATCGGTAAGAGGTGTTCAATACAAAATATACTCCTTGGCCCTGTTGGTTGTGGTCACTGACACCAATATGGTTTCTTTTTCTTAGGTATCAGTACTAGTACAAAAAAGTGTAGGAAGGTGTTGTTGAATGCAGAATTCGGAAGGGGACAGTTTCTGAATCAATCGGCCACAGCGTGGCCCAGATAATCAGAGCATTTATTTTGTCATCTGTTGTTAAAGGGGCTGTGAAAAGAGTAAAGGTGTAATAACAGTATTCGGATGTTGTTGGAGATACTGACTTTATTTTTGTGAGGCTTTTGTTTGATTTTGTTTACATTTTTTGAGATAGGGTCTTGCTGTGTAGCTCAGTCTGGTCTAGAGTTGATTTCATAGCTAGACTGGCCTTAATTCTGTCTTTCTGCCTCAGCCTCCCAAGTGTACCACCATGTCTAAATGATAAGCTCTTTTGATTAAAGGAATTGCTAATCTTCCTTCCAACTCAAACTAGATATTTCTTAGAACCCTGTAGTCTGGCTGCTCAGGCCAAGACATGTTTACTTCCAAGTTTGCTAGTAGAGGAAGTGTTAAACGTATTGGGTTGTGAATAAATAAGTAAATAAATAAATCCTTCTTATAATTGCCCAGAAGTCAGTGAGAGAAAATCCTGATGAGACTAGAATTTTCTCTTTTGGGAGGCTACTGAGAAATAGCTACTTAATTTTATTTACAGCTGGTCTGATGTTTAAAGCAATAGTGTCATGTTATAGAGACCTTGGGAGCAGGCAGCCTGCTTCTCCAATAGCCTGTTAGACCAGCCTTTATCTTTAATGGGTCCCTCTCAAGTCTGTGATGGTCCAGTTCTTGGTATAGGGCTTACAGAGAATTTCTCAAGGCAGTGGCAGTTGGTTTTCAGGATCTCTGAGGTCTTGTGAATCTTAAGGGATTAGGACTTAACGCTCTGACTCAAGGCACAGCCATCATCTGGGCGTCTTAGCAAGCCCTCAATGCCTACCCTTTGACCTAATGAACTCGGCTAACTGTGCTATCACTGTTGTTTGTTCTGAAAAGACCTCTAGGGAGTAATCAGGATCTGTCCCCTGCTTTTTTGTAGGGTGTAACCAGAGGCTGCGCTCTTGTTTCCTGGCCACCCAGTCCAGAAACTTATATTAATTATAAACTATTTGACCTATTTGGTCAGACTTATTATTAACTAGTTATCACAACTTAAATTAATCAATTCCTGTTATTTTATATTTTGCTGTGAGCGCGTGCCTTGTTACCTCACCTCTTGCTTCTCTGGTGGCTGCTTATGTCTCCTTTGGCTCCGCCTTCTTTCTCTATCTCTGCTCGGATTTCCTACCTAGCTACATTCTATCCTGCCATAGGTAAAGCAGCTTCTTTATTAACCAGTGGTAATAAAACATATTCACAGCATACAGAGGGGTATCTCACATCAGGAGGGTTCATATCCAGAAGTCTAGGCCCCGACAGGCACCTTAAAGGGAAATGTCTTTTAGGATATAGGTGATCATTTAAGAGCAACAAGGGACCGATGGGGATACAAATCTGATCTGAATGATCTTACAGGTGCAACTGATGCTCAAGAGCTGTCAGGCACCAATTACTAACAGTAGAAAGGGAGCAGCCTAGACCAACTCGATACAGCTGCTGCTCTGCTCTGCTCTCTCTGCTCTCTCTGCTCTCTGCTCTCTCTGCTCTCTGCTCTGCTCTGCTCTCTCTGCTCTGCTCTCTCTGCTCTCTCTGCTCTCTGCTCTCTGCTCTCTGCTCTGCTCTGCTCTGCTCTCTCTGCTCTCTCTGCTCTCTGCTCTCTGCTCTCTCTGCTCTCTGCTCTCTCTGCTCTCTGCTCTGCTCTGCTCTCTCTGCTCTGCTCTCTCTGCTCTCTCTGCTCTCTGCTCTCT